TTCTGTGTGTGTGTGTGTGCGTGCGTGTGTCTCTGTGTGTGTGTGTCTCTGTGTGTGCGTGTGTGTGTGTGTGTGTGTGTCTCTCTGTGTGTGTGTGTGTGTGTGTGTGTGTGTGTGTGTGAAGGATGAGCAGGCGTTACAGCAGCGCTCTGAGTATCTGAAGCAGCAGAGAGATAAACTGCAGGCCCTGAAGAGAGATCAGACCCAGAAGAGCCCGACTGACGCTCCTCCTGCGGCCCCGGAGCCCAAACCCACTGCACAGGTATCACACACTCACTCAATTCCTGCCTCAGCTGCAGACTGTGAATATAAACACCAGAGACACTTCCCCTAAAACAGCTGTGTGTATATATTGTGTCTGCGCTGCTCTTCTCTCTCATGTGTAGCGACACGTATGGCGTTATTTTAATGACAAATGTCGAGAGCGCATTATTCTAGCGTGAAAGCACATTAATATAATGCGCGAATCTCTCCGCTCGCACGCGGATTTTCTTTTGCTCTCGCACAAAAACAAACGCACTTAAAGCATGTCTCTCCTCTCAAGCTGTGTCTTGTCTGTGCACTCGCAAATCTCTCTGTGCTCATGCGCTACATATTCATTCTTTTCACACCTGAATTAAACATTGTCAAAAGTTATCAACCAATCAGATTTCAAAGATGGATCTGTAATTTCTTTCCAGTTTAATAATATTTAGCAATGTTAATGAAATGTAGCCTATAGAAATGGCTAGGAATTGAGTGCTTGGGTACATATGTGACCCTGGAGCACAAAACCAGTCATAAGTGTCAATTTTTCAAAACTGAGATTTATGCATCTGAAAGCTGAATAATCTGAAATAAGCTTCCCATTGATGTATGGTTTGTTAGGATAGGACAATATTTGAAAATCTGGAATCTGAGGGTGCAAAAAAAATCTAAATATTGAGAAAATCATCTTTAAAGTTGTCCAAATGAAGCTCTTAGCAATGCATATTACTAATCAAAAATTAAGTTTTGATATATTTACGGTAGGAAATTTACAAAATATCTTCATGGAACATGATCTTTACTTAATATCCTAATGATTTTTGGCATAAAAGAAAAATGTATAATTTTGACCCATACAATGTATTGTTGGCTATTGCTACAAATATACCCCAGCGACTTCAGACTGCTTTTGTGCTCCTGAGTCATATATAACCTCTGTCCAAATCATCCACGCACCCAACTCATTTCTAATATTTGATTATTATGACTTAAACTGGAAAGAAATTACAGATCCAACGTTTAATTCAGGAGTTGAAAATGTCAAACCCGCAGAGGTTTCTACACATGGGAAGATCTGACAGCAGAAAATATCTAGGTTTTTCATTTGAACATCATTAAATGGTTCTGAATTGGTGCTGGGAAAAAGAATATGCTGTTTTTTCCCTCACTGCCTCATTTTGACTGGTCTTATGAAACACTTGATACAGTGATTTGAAAAGCACCAATAATTTGCTACCGTGTTGGTGTTGGGATTTCTGCTTTTCTGCAGTCTCGTTATAGTGTCAGTTGATGAAAAGAGCAAAATGAACCAGTTTTCTCCTACAATTAACATGAACTGATAACATCTCAGGAAATTTAGTTTAGTGTTTCATGAGTCTTTTTGGGACAGTTGAATGTATTGTAATTTGTCTGATAATTTGCCGTTTTTTTTCTAATTGTTGATTCCTTATTCATTTCAGGAGTCAGTGTGCCAATATACAGAATTCATGATTACGTTTCAATTTTAATGTTAGCAATTAATCTCACCTAACGTGATTTTGCAATTAATGGCAGCTGGAAATAATTTTAATAATCATTTCTTTTCAAGGAAATATCTGTTGAAGAGAAGAAGAAATTGCAGAAAAGAAAACATCTGGCAGAGAAGCTCAAAGAAGAAGTCATCAAGAAATGAAGTCGTCTCTGTGATCGTAGAGTGGGAAACAGAGTTTTATATTGTTTAATTGATATTTTTTTATGTACCTGTAGGTCTGCCAAACACAAATTAGTCGGTGATCTCACATTACTTTATATAAACTCCAACAGCTGTGGCGCTGAGAGATTGAGTCATCAGACGTGTCTGTAGCAGCAGTGAATTACACGGGTCAGAGGCGATGGACTTGTGTCAGACATGTTGACCTCCATGTTTGTGTGCCCAAATCTCTTTGCATGATCAGTTTATTGACACAGTGAATGCAGTGTTTGTACATCCGTCTGTCTGTCTGTTTGTTTCTGCAACATGTTAAAATCTTTACTTACTGAATTATTGTTATGCATTATGGGGACACTCACATACTATACATATACTCATATATATGCTCATGTTTTACTATGTAATTTCATGAAGTGTGCACAGATGTTTGATGAAATTACCAAATAAAGGATCATTTGTAGTCATTAGAAAGAAAAGTGTTCTTCATGTGTACCATATATTGTGTTTTATACAATAGTGTCTGTGCAGTCAAGTCAAAATATTGCCAAATATCAAGTGTTCACGCTGATTGTTATGGGCAGAGTGAAGTAATTAATGGTGGAAACAGAAGCCAGGTCCAGTGTACTTGAAAGGTGTAAAAGAGTTTGTGTTTTTAATGTATATAAATGCTAAATTACATTTTTAGCATTTTCAGCGTCTCTATACAGACTCTAAGAGCACGCATAGCACTAGCAGTGTAGCTACTGGTAACCACTGCTTTAAGAAAAACGTTTGGCGTTAGTAGTCTATACCGATTAGAAAGGCATTTTATTATCACAAAGCTACTCTCAAAATATCTTGAACATTTTTCTTGCCTAAAAACATGTATGAGATACTCATTACATATTTAATTCTCTGCATTTAATCAGCTGTTTGTATCCAGGCCTGGTCCTGCGCGAGTGCTAGAGGATGCCAAGCACTCTCAAATGAAAGCAGGAGCAAAGCTGTAATAATAGGATACTGGCAAAACATATTTGGGGAACACTCCAGTTAGGGTTGGGAATCGAAAATCTATTCCAATTCCAGAATCGGACACTTGTTGTAAAATTAAAATTTCAATTCCACCTATCGATTGCTGTGTGTGCATCTTTTATTTTTAGGTGGTTAAAAACATTTATTTGTCTTTGAATCATTCATTCAAAACACTTATTCATCCAGTGATGAAACGAGTAAATCTTGAGTGAGTCATTGAATCATTCATTCAAGAGATTCATTCAAAAACACTGATTCATCCAGTAACGAAACGAGTAAATCTTGAGTGAGTCACTGAATCATTCATTCAAGAGATTCATTCAAAAACACTGATTCATCCAGTAACGAAACGAGTAAATCTTGAGTGAGTCACTGAATCATTCATTCAAGAGATTCATTCAAAAACACTGATTCATCCAGTAACGAAACGAGTAAATCTTGAGTGAGTCATTGAATCATTCATTCAAGAGATTCATTCAAAAACACTTATTCATCCAGTAACGAAACGAGTAAATCTTGAGTGAGTCATTGAATCATTCATTCAAGAGATTCATTCAAAAACACTGATTCATCCAGTAACGAAACGAGTAAATCTTGAGTGAGTCATTGAATCATTCATTCAAGAGATTCATTCAAAAACACTGATTCATCCAGTAACGAAACGAGTAAATCTTGAGTGAGTCATTGAATCATTCATTCAAGAGATTCATTCAAAAACACTGATTCATCCAGTAACGAAACGAGTAAATCTTGAGTGAGTCATTGAATCATTCATTCAAGAGATTCATTCAAAAACACTGATTCATCCAGTAACGAAACGAGTAAATCTTGAGTGAGTCATTGAATCATTCATTCAAGAGATTCATTCAAAAACACTGATTCATCCAGTAACGAAACGAGTAAATCTTGAGTGAGTCATTGAATCATTCATTCAAGAGATTCATTCAAAAACACTGATTCATCCAGTAACGAAACGAGTAAATCTTGAGTGAGTCATTGAATCATTCATTCAAGAGATTCATTCAAAAACACTGATTCATCCAGTAACGAAACGAGTAAATCTTGAGTGAGTCATTGAATCATTCATTCAAGAGATTCATTCAAAAACACTGATTCATCCAGTAACGAAACGAGTAAATCTTGAGTGAGTCATTGAATCATTCATTCAAGAGATTCATTCAAAAACACTGATTCATCCAGTAACGAAACGAGTAAATCTTGAGTGAGTCATTGAATCATTCATTCAAGAGATTCATTCAAAAACACTGATTCATCCAGTAACGAAACGAGTAAATCTTGAGTGAGTCATTGAATCATTCATTCAAGAGATTCATTCAAAAACACTGATTCATCCAGTAACGAAACGAGTAAATCTTGAGTGAGTCATTGAATCATTCATTCAAGAGATTCATTCAAAAACACTGATTCATCCAGTAACGAAACGAGTAAATCTTGAGTGAGTCATTGAATCATTCATTCAAGAGATTCATTCAAAAACACTGATTCATCCAGTAACGAAACGAGTAAATCTTGAGTGAGTCATTGAATCATTCATTCAAGAGATTCATTCAAAAACACTGATTCATCCAGTAACGAAACGAGTAAATCTTGAGTGAGTCATTGAATCATTCATTCAAGAGATTCATTCAAAAACACTGATTCATCCAGTAACGAAACGAGTAAATCTTGAGTGAGTCATTGAATCATTCATTCAAGAGATTCATTCAAAAACACTGATTCATCCAGTAACGAAACGAGTAAATCTTGAGTGAGTCATTGAATCATTCATTCAAGAGATTCATTCAAAAACACTGATTCATCCAGTAACGAAACGAGTAAATCTTGAGTGAGTCATTGAATCATTCATTCAAGAGATTCATTCAAAAACACTGATTCATCCAGTAACGAAACGAGTAAATCTTGAGTGAGTCATTGAATCATTCATTCAAGAGATTCATTCAAAAACACTGATTCATCCAGTAACGAAACGAGTAAATCTTGAGTGAGTCATTGAATCATTCATTCAAGAGATTCATTCAAAAACACTGATTCATCCAGTAACGAAACGAGTAAATCTTGAGTGAGTCATTGAATCATTCATTCAAGAGATTCATTCAAAAACACTGATTCATCCAGTAACGAAACGAGTAAATCTTGAGTGAGTCATTGAATCATTCATTCAAGAGATTCATTCAAAAACACTGATTCATCCAGTAACGAAACGAGTAAATCTTGAGTGAGTCATTGAATCATTCATTCAAGAGATTCATTCAAAAACACTGATTCATCCAGTAACGAAACGAGTAAATCTTGAGTGAGTCATTGAATCATTCATTCAAGAGATTCATTCAAAAACACTGATTCATCCAGTAACGAAACGAGTAAATCTTGAGTGAGTCATTGAATCATTCATTCAAGAGATTCATTCAAAAACACTGATTCATCCAGTAACGAAACGAGTAAATCTTGAGTGAGTCATTGAATCATTCATTCAAGAGATTCATTCAAAAACACTGATTCATCCAGTAACGAAACGAGTAAATCTTGAGTGAGTCATTGAATCATTCATTCAAGAGATTCATTCAAAAACACTGATTCATCCAGTAACGAAACGAGTAAATCTTGAGTGAGTCATTGAATCATTCATTCAAGAGATTCATTCAAAAACACTGATTCATCCAGTAACGAAACGAGTAAATCTTGAGTGAGTCATTGAATCATTCATTCAAGAGATTCATTCAAAAACACTGATTCATCCAGAACTTGTTGACTTTTGATGAGTTTGATGAGACTTTTTCAAACTCATCAAAAGTCAACAAGTTCAACAACAACTTTTCCAAGTGACTGCTGCAGAACGCACGCGAGAGAGAGACGAGGCAGCGCAGATCGCGCGTCTCATAAGTGAGTGGGAATTTACCGAATGTGGCACTTGCGGGAGTTTACACTGTATGCAATACCCGCAACCTCACACCAAATTTCAGGCTGTGTAGATAGGCAAGCATATATACAAATCATTTAGTAAGCAGAAATCCGAAATTTACCTTAACATATTAAGTTAGAGGAAGATGCGACTGAATTGATGCTTGAAGAATGCGCTTCCAGCAGCCATGATAAACAGTTGGCGGTTAAAGTTTTCTATGCACAATTTGATTTGAGGAAAGTCACGAGACCTATTACTCTCTCTCCAATCACGTTGATGGATAAAAATGAAATTAAAATAAGCATGTAACAACTACAAACGGAGGAAAATAGCGGAGTAAAAGTACCGATACATCATTTAAAATGTACTCAAGGAAAAGTAAAAGTACACAATTTTTAAACTACTCAAAAAAGTACAATTACTGATAAAAACTACTTAATTACTGTAACGTGAGTATTTGTAATTCGTTACTTCACACCCCTGGAAACCTGTGGGCACCACGAGCGGCTAACATGCAACTTTGCACTTCATCTGAACATGAAAGTCTTTCCTCACTTGTACAACATGGCCTGCCCAGCATTTCACCAACTCCTGGAAGGAGAAATCCAACAGTTTACTGCTCAGGTACAAGGGAACTGGGATATTCTATTTGACTTCAAGAAAGAAAAAAAAAACTGAATGATCTTACCCAGGATGTTCATTCAGTTCAGTTCTTCCCACCACAAGAGTCAAATTGCTTAATGTGCTGCAAAAGTGGAGAATAATAAGAGTCAACTTGTTACTGTGTTGACCACTGCTAAACAACTAGAGGAGTCCGAATTAGACAGACTGACCAAAGAATGAAAAAAATGATCACAGATGAGCTCCAAAAGGTGGAATCTACCTCGGTGTCGGAAGTACATTTTCATGGAGGATCAACTCCGGTCAGAGGTTCAGCAGCACATCAGAGCTGTTCAACACACACTACTCCAAACAAGTCATGATCCCAGCAGCACCATTACTTCAACCCTGCCATCCGAGCCTACTCCAGTGATTCCTCCAACTTTTTCAGCCCCTCTTCCAACATCTGTGGTTATGGTTAGGGTATATCAAAAGGAACTTTTCCAACATTTGGAAGGCCATCAGAAGATGCAGACCCACTACTTAACTAGTGTTGACGCAGATATGCTTGGTGTATCATTTATTTCTAAGAAGGATGTCCATTCTCTTTTAAAGTACTCATAAAATTCTTTATCTTGAAGCAAGGATGTATTCATTCTCCATCTTTGTTTGATTTTAGCATATTTTTTTATTGCTGAGCATAAGCGTGATTGGTGCGTGGTCTGAAATAATAATTGGATTTATTTTTGTGTCTGTTATGTCTTGAATGATGGAATTGCTTGCTAGGAAGAAATCTATGCGCTAGTATGATTTATGCACCGATGAAAAATAAGTGTAATCTTTTGCTATGGGATTCTTTAGTCTCCAGGTATCGGTAAGTCCAAGTTCATTCATACTGTTTTATTGTGTCTGTGGAGTGCCATGTTTTAGTGTGATTTGT